CACAGATCATTTGGCACCATGTCGTCTAAAGCCACGAAATCGGCCGACGCTGACCGCGTGAAGTATATTGATACACTGGACGTCATTTCTAAGGCAAGATATTTGGAGAGATTGCGAGTGATACGAGATATGGATCCGTACGAAATGCAGCGAGACCAGTGGACTTCACCAGAGATGGACTCCTGGTCTATGGTTCTGTCTGCACATTGTACCTGTGTGGCTGGTCTTGGAGAGGTTCCCACGTCGGTGCCATCCTTTTTGCTCTGGACAGTGCGACAGATACAGTGCCTTGCGAAAGTATTCGGCCCCCTTGAACCTTTCAACATTTCGCCACATTTCAGGCTTCAAACATAAAGATATAAAAAAAAATATTTTTTGTCAAGAATCAACAACAAGTGGGACACAATCGTGAAGTGGAACGAAATTTATTGGATAATTTAAACTTTTTTAACAAATAAAAAACTGAAAAGTGGGGCGTGCAATATTATTCGGCCCCCTTGCGCTAATACTTTGTAGCGCCACCTTTTGCTGCAATTATAGCTGCAAGTCGCTTGCCCATTCTTCCTTGCAAAACAGCTGGAGCTCAGTGAGGTTGGATGGAGTTTGTGAACAGCAGTCTTCAGCTCTTTCCACAGATTCTCGATTGGATTCAGGTCTGGACTTTGACTTGGTCATTCTAACACCTGGATACGTCTATTTGTGAACCATTCCATTGTAGATTTGGCTTTATGTTTTGGATCATTGTCCTGTTGGAAGATAAATCTCCGTCCCAGTCTCAGGTCTTTTGCAGACTCCAACAGGTTTTCTTCCAGAATGGTCCTGTATTTGGCATCAATTTTAGCCATCTTCCCTGTCCCTGCTGAAGAAAAGCAGGCCCAAAGCATGATGCTGCCACCACCATGTTTGACAGTAGGGATGGTGTGTTCAGGGTGATGAGCTGTGTTGCTTTTACGCCAAACATATCGTTTTGCATTGTGGCCAAAAAGTTCGATTTTGGTTTCATCTGACCAGAGCACCTTCTTCCACATGTTTGGTGTGTCTCCCAGGTGGCTTGTGGCAAACTTTAAACCAGACTTTTTATGGATATCTTTGAGAAATAGCTTTCTTCTTGCCACTCTTCCATAAAGGCCAGATTTGTGGAGTGCACGACTGATTGTTGTCCTATGGACAGACTCTCCCACCTCAGCTGTAGTTATCTGCAGTTCATCCAGAGTGATCATGGGCCTCTTGGCTGCATCTCTGATCAGTCTTCTCCTTGTTTGAGATGAAAGTTTGGAGGGACGGCCGGGTCTTGGTAGATTTGCAGTGGTCTGATACTCCTTCCATTTCAATATAATTGCTTGCACAGTGCTCCTTGAGATGTTTAAAGCTTGGGAAATCTTTTTGTATCCAAATTCAGCTTTAAACTTCTCCACAACAGTATCTCGGACCTGCCTTGTGTGTTCCTTTGTCTTCATGGTTCTCTCTGCGCTTTAAACAGAACCCTGAGACTATCAAAGAGCAGGTGCATTTATACGGAGACTTGATTACACACAGGTGCATTCTATTTATCATCATCAGTCATTTAGGACAACATTGGATCATTCAAAGATCCTCACTGAACTTCTGGACTGAGTTTGCTGCACTGAAAGTAAAGGGGCCGAATAATATTGCACGCCCCACTTTTCAGTTTTTTATTTGTTAAAAAAGTTTAAATTATCCAATAAATTCCGTTCCACTTCACGATTGTGTCCCACTTGTTGTTGATTCATGACAAAAAATTAAAATGTTATATCTTTATGTTTGAAGCCTGAAATGTGGCGAAATGTTGAAATGTTGGGGCCGAATACTTTTGCAAGGCACTGTATAACAAGTAATAATTATATGTCTGTTCTAAACCCACTTTTCTGTTTTAGATCTCACTGGGTGTGCAGCAGGTAAAGGTTTCAGACTTCACACTACTCCCAGCCTTGGCCTGTACCAGTGATCTGCAAAGATGGATGTGTTTATGTCAATGCAATAAAATTAATAATAACTGATCTACAAATCTCCTTTTTGTTCCTTTACATTTTAAACTTTCAACTCGTGTTTATCATTGTAAATTTATGTTACAAAATTAGAATCATTGCATGAAAAAGCACGTACCCATCAGTGTACATTATGTTCTGTCACATTTGAAAGTGTAAAAACTGTTCTTAAATCCAGTTGTCCTGGTCTTAATGGGCATTACACACGCAGTGACCTCACAAATAGAGATGTAAACTGTATAGTCAATCTAACATGCTGGTTAGGAAGTCTAACATGTGTTCTGTGAATGTAAAAACCTCCTTGTTCCAGTCTTTTTGGGCTCCTTTATTCACAGCCCAACTGTGGCGGAGCTACAAGCAGTCAGTCTGCAGAGGTTAACAGTTTCCTATGACTCAATGAGGATGCTGCTGAAGATCCCAGACACAGTCGTCCAGTCAGATGTTTGCTGAGTGCAGGGTGCGCTCCTTTCCTACGTCACTGCTACTATCAGTCATGTGTAGAGTCATGATGGTACCTAATAGTATTGTACAGTCCCTGGTTTGCCCTTACATTAGCTCAGTCAGGTTCACTTCTAAACTTTGGGGTCACTGGCTTCTTTGTATGTGTGACTTGCTGTAAATATGTGATTATGTGTCTTTTTAACACAGCTTTTTTTTTTGTATTGTTCTTTCATTCTTAGCTCTGGATCCTGTGCTTGCATGTAAGTCCTTAGTAAAGTCTAAATAAAATTGGACCCATGTTGCTGCTGAAAGGAAGTCTGAGGTGTAAGCTGTTCTGTAAAGGTACATTCAAATACACAACTTGTCATTTTACAGTCTTGTTTAGTTAAGAATGTCATTTCCTAATTCATAAATCTATTGATACATAATCCACTAATAGTTTAGTATTTGTTTTAACGGGTTTTCCATTGCGATTCAACACAATTTAGAAAAAAAATGTACAGAATTGTGTCCAAGTGTGTTTTAATTTGGGAACAAACTAATCAAAAATATTTACACTGGAACAGACACACAGAAGATTTACATACATGATGAATGTAGTCTTTGGCCTTCATAATTTGCCAAAACAAAAACACAACAAGCTGTGATTCCTGAGCCTCGGGAGACAGAATCCCTCTTGAATGTTGCAATAACATTATTCCAGGAAAAAGAGATGGAGCAGCAATAGTTTTAAGGCGGCTGATATGTAAAAAAAAATATATATGTATGTATGTACTGGGCAGGAACATGATCCATGTTTAATGAATACATTTACTCAGAATACCTTTCTGTGAGCCCTATACGATGAAATAACGCCACTTCAAAAAGTTTGCTTTCGTGATTAACCACTGTATCCAAAAGAAGGGACATGACTCAGCTGATGACTTGACATTTGGACAAACCTAGTCGGTGTAACGTGGTTGATATTTCTGCATATGTTTTAATGTTTTAGAACCATTCTATCGCTGTATCTGCAAAGTCTTCCAACGCACCCATCATTTAGTTCATCTCCACCGCTACTCCACTGTTTACCTGCGGGGTGCGCACTTGCGAATCACTTCCGGGGGATTCTTGTGTTTCAAATGGAATTCGCAAAAAGTAATTTAGACGATCATTATTGGTTTACTGCATTTTCGTTTTAATTGGATCCACAGAAAACCAAAAACAAACCGATATTTCAATTTTGCATTAAATTCAAATATTGAGAATCAAAAACATCCCTCGTTATTCGTTTTTTCAATGGTGGTTTTATTTAGAAAATCAAAAGAATGAATGATACACGGATTGGTGATGTTTGGGAGAAGGGTCTGTCTGCGGCTTGCAGTACGGAGGCGTGTCGTGTAGTAGGCGTGTCGTGTGGTGACGTCACTACACGACACGCCTACTACACAAATTTTAAACCCGTTGAAAACTCGAAGAGAAGACATGGCAGACCGTACGCAAACAGTAAGTGACAACCAACAACGTGTTTTATTTATTTTTAGTCCGTCACACAAGTTACAGTGTATTAATGAATAAATGCACATGGATGAAGGGCAGCCAGGATTTGAGCCACCAACCATAGGCCCCTTTTATAAATGAATGTACACATTAGACATAAGCACTGACATTATTTGACTCTTAACTTAGCTTTTGTCCGGAGCCGCTTCAAATCCCTATTGATTGTCTGAAGTAGTCTGAAGTAATGGCAGCTTTTGTAGGCAAATTTACTACTTTGATATTTACAAAATTCGTCCACTTTCCCCCAATAAATAATGATGACAATGACATGCGCCATAAAATTCATTATTGGGCATAGATAGTAGGTACTTACTACTACTCATACCCGTATTATAATAGATCCTTGCTCATACCCCTTTAAGAAACGTGGAGTGGGCGTGTCGTGTAGTAGGCGTGTCGTGTAGTGACGTCACTACACGACACGCCTACTACATGACACGCCTCCGTACTGCAGGCCGCAGACAGATACACTTGATGTTTGGGGGTGGGTGAGGGACAATGTATGGGGTGAAAATTTTAAAATGTCTTTGCAACCAGTAACATGAGGGACAGGATTTAAAAGATGTTGTCTTCCTTCTGTTCCTGTTTGTTTATGTTGCAAAAATGTAAAGTCAAAATTCATGATGTATGTATGTATGTAAAATGACAATCAATCAATTGGTAAATAAATCGATTTTCTCTATTTTCTCCGTCTGTGTCCCCTGTATCATATACTGTATGTCTAGGGTTTGGCTGTAGACAGTGTTTTATTGAGCCAAAGGAGACTGTATGTGCAAAAGATGCCACTTTCAGGAGATAATCATACAAACATTATACAAAAGTCATAAAATGTGACATTTTTATATGTTTTATGTGCAACTTTTCCATATGGGTTTAGCTACAGTAGTTGTTTATCACCACTGTGTATGTCAGGTGTCTCCCCAACATAAAACCAATGCATTATTAAAAATGCCTCCCAAACCAAACTATTCCTACATAGGCCACCACATTTTTTTTCAGGTCCTCTAAATGGGATCAATTGGAGTGAGTGGCCTGCAGAAGTCTTGTAATCAGGTGTGAATGTGTGGGGTGAAACATCAGCCCGTCCACCTCCATCCCCAGATTTCCAGTTTTCCCACTCCTCACGCCGAAGCGCACCAGCGTGGACAGAAAAGCCTCCTCCTGAAATACAAATGATGAAAATATTTGTAAATGAGCAGTTTGATTCGTTTGTTTAGTTATAATCTCCTTTCCGGCATGCGTTTTTTTCTCTGTGGAATTAAACTTCATGCTGGAAATGATTCATGGCTGAAGGCGGAGAAAAAGTACTCGGACCTGCCTGGTGTGTTCCTTTGTCTTCATGGTTCTCTCTGCGCTTTAAACAGAACCCTGAGACTATCAAAGAGCAGGTGCATTTATACGGAGACTTGATTACACACAGGTACATTCTATTTATCATCATCAGTCATTTAGGACAACATTGGATCATTCAAAGATCCTCACTGAACTTCTGGACTGAGTTTGCTGCACTGAAAGTAAAGGGGCCGAATAATATTGCACGCCCCACTTTTCAGTTTTTTATTTATTTCACACACGGACTAATCACAGCGGAGCTTCCTTGAAGCGGCGGCCGCGTAGTTAGAAACTTTTGAGGATGTGCGGCAGGCTACGCACATAAGGGCCTTGCGGTGATCCATGTGTTGCGCAAGTGACGTCACGTCACTATCGTAAGCGCCGCGTGACTACACTGGGCTTAAGCTGCTCTGAGCTGGGTCCAAGCGTTTTGACGCTCGAACGCGCGTTGCCATTGACTGACTCGCATGATCCGGTCTGAATGCAGCATTAGATTTGGGTCAAGCCAAACAGGAGAAAATGTGCTTGGTCAGGTACCTCTTACCCCTGCCTCAACAAAGCCTTTTTCACCAGTTCAGCTGAAAATGTTACAATCGAACGCTAAGACTTTTACTTTTATTATTGTACTTTTTCATCTCATTTGTCACTTTTGTCTGAAATGGACACCATCACTTTCAATTGACCTCAACCCATAGTCTCCTCCTAAAGGAGAAAGAATCCTCTGTGGCAGTTACAAGGAGTGTGAGAAGGACACAGCAAAAGAGGTCCTGCTGCATTTTGTATCATAAGATTTTTGGTACAATTGTAGATTGTCATTTTACATTTTTCACGTGTTTGTAGTAAAACTGCAGGAACTGCAGGAAAACCCTGGTGACCGAGAGATCCTTAAAGATTATAATTCTTTGAGATCACTAAGTCACCGCTCTCGAAGACAACTTGTCGACCTTCTCGTCAGTGACATGAGTGAAACACATGGGTATGTTGTATCCCTCAGTTATTACTCAAAAGTCCCTTCTTACAAGTGGAAGGATATTTACTCAAAATAAAATGAAAATCACTTGAAAGAACTTTCACAATAATCACGTAACAATTCTGTTTCTCTCAGCACTGTTATTGATTCCCCATTGTAAGATAAATAGTACTTATCTCTTTTATAAATGACCTAGGTAGATGTTCACCTGTAGATTATCTCTTGGTTAGGTCCCCGTGAAAATATGTACTTGTAGATACTATTAATTTAGCCTTTTTATGTAACCATGAAGTCCCTTGACCATGGGTGTTTTTCTTTCCTTAGACAAATGCCTTCCCGAAAACAAAAAGAAAGCTATGCTCAATTATCACACTTTTTTCTTCATTGAAGGATCCATTTTCTCAAAAAAGGTTATGTAAGTATTGTATCCATGGAAATTGAATTTGGTTTATCTACACACGTTTTGTGTCGTAATGGATATGTATAGATACCAATCCTAACTGTACACTTTGTTTTCAGACTAATCTAGCCTCGTAATGAGATGGTGACCTGCTATTTGCTTAACACAATATCTGCAATACAATGTGAACAATAAGTCCACATTTTCACGATGTTGATAAAGACGACATTGTGTGTAAGTGTTTTACTGTTTCTCCTTCCTTGTTTGACGTTACTGTGACTTGCGTTGGATTTTTATTCATACCACTCTTTTGGTTGTTTTCTAGCGGCCTGTAAGACTTATTATGAGACGGTTCGCAGGAGCCATCAAAATGCCAAGCCAGAAAACTCATTGAGGGCGGATGTGGCGAAGAGTTCAGCTCAGAGTCGAGCGAGAAGAAAGAGGGTAAGACTAAACTGCATCGCACAGTAAGGCAAGGGAGGTTTATTTGTTTAGCACAATTCATACACAAGGAAACTCAATGTGCTGAACAAAAGAAAGCATTAATATAAATAATCACAGTACATAAACAAAGATAAATATAAAATCCCTCAGTTGTAGCACAGCTAAAGTGAGACAGGCCTCCTCTCTGACTGTTTAAAACAGTTTGGTTTAGCTGTGCTACAACTGAGGTATTTTATATTTATCTTTGTTAATGTACTGTGATTATTTTATTTCAATGCTTTCTTATTTTGCTCAGCACTTCGAGTTGCCTTGTGTATGAATTGTGCTAGACAAATAAACTTGCCTTGCCATCGTACTTCCTGGTTCTGGTCAGGACTTGAGCTGCTGCATTTTGAATGTACTGCGGCTGTTGTGGCAGTAGTCTAACCTACTGGAGACAAATGCATGGATAAGAATCTCCAGGTCTGCTTTAGACACAATTTTTTTGATCCTGGCAATGTTTAGATGGGAAAAAGGATTTGATTTGGCTAATAATATTTACTGATTCTTTCAGCTGCTGGAATCGAGACTGAGTGTGCTAGAAAGTGAAAAAGTGGAACTCTGGAAGTCCGCCACGGTAGACCTAATGTCCAATGAAGAAGGCGTTGTGGACGGTGGATTGTGCAGTCGCCGTCTTTTCGAAAGCCGGAGTTTTCTGAACTCTGTGTCAAGCTGCAGTCCCGGTTAGAGGCGGCGCGGAAGTACAGAGCCACGCACATTAAGCGTCTATCTAGAAACCCTGCCAAATTACAACCCAGAGGAGGCTATTGGACAGTTCAGAGTTGTAATTTTACCTATGTGTGGGCATAAAGCTGTGTGTGTGTTTTAATAAAGCTTTCTTTGTATGAACATATTCCTGGACATTTTTCATTTCCTCTATAAATAATGATATGAATATATATTTATATAAATATTATTACATTAATTATGAGGCAGGGTGACCAATAGTGACAGATCTGCCAGCCAATCACGAGAGATTATACTTATTTAAAAGTAGTGATTTCATCCAATGGGGAGTAAACTTCATCCAATGGGGAGTAATCCCACGTGGGCTGGCCACGTGTGATTTTTCAGCCAATCACGAGTTTGAAAGTAGTGGTATCCGCCAATGCTGAATAGTGTTCTGAAGCAGCCTGGCCAGCCGCTGCATTCATATGCTAATTAGGGCCATTAGCGCTCGGCCGGCCGCAGTGTTTCACTGCATTCATATGCAAAGAAGGGACATTAGCATGGTACGGATGCGGCAGTTTGGAGGACAGGGCACCCTAACTGAAAACTTTGAAAACTTTCTGAGATACCCGAAAAAGAGCGTGATTTCCTGCCGTTTAGGGTGACAAAAATCTAACTTTTCATGCAGTGCACACCACTGTCAGACTGTACATTAAGTCACTTTAAGTCACTAATGCACTAGGACTGAAAATGTGCAGTGCGATTGCCACTCATTATTTTATTGCCACTTTTTTATTGTACATAATAATATCCTGCACAGACTATATTTCTAACCTTATACATGTTTGCACACTTATGTCTTTTGCACAGTCTGAATGATTCTATCAGCCAAATGTGACATATACATTTCTCCAGTGTGAGATCAATAAAGTCTATCTATCTAGCAGACACGTGAGCGCCCCTTAGAGTAAAGAACGTAAGCGCAAAGTGTGGCGTACGAGTAGAGCGACTGGAGCCAGGTAGGATACAAGTGTATGTTGGTGTTGGCAATAAAATAAAGTCTGATTCTTGAGCGTCGGAAGCAATAGCAATAGCAATTGCAATAGCACCACACTACAACACTCTCCAACATCTGTGCAGGCAGCTTGGCTTTCCTGAGCTGCCGCAGGAAGTACATCCTCTGCTTGGCCTTCTTTGGCTGAGGGAGCTGATGATGAGCTCCCATTTGAGGTGCTGGGTGATGGTGGTGCGCAGGTAACGAAAGTACTCCACAGAGGTGATCCATCAGGGAGGGAGTGCTCTTCCTGAAGTCCACAATCATCTCCACTGTCTTCTGGGCGTTCAGCTTCAGGTTGTTACCACTGCAACAGGACACCAGCCGGTCCACCTGCCTCCTGTAGGCGAACTCATCTATGTCTGAGATGTCCAATGAGGTAGTTGTAATCCGTGAACTTGATGAGGACTCGTGGCTGGGGGTGCAGTGGTTGGTGTACAGGGAGAAGAGCAGGGGAGAAAGAACACAGCCCTGTGGAGCTCCTGTATTTATAATCTGAGAGTCTGAGACATTCTTCCCCAGATGCACATGCTGCTTCCACATGCTTCCACATTGAGCAGGGGGAGCCTGTCCCTGGAGCAGGGATGGCAGAGCTGAAGTTCACAAACAGGATACTGTTTGGGTAACACAACCAATAGAGAATGCAAAGGTATGAGACTGCAGGGAGAGACGTGTGTAAAAAGGCACGTCACAGCAGGTGCGTTAAAGCAAGCACAGCAGGAAGACGTAATATGACGCACAATATCATGTCCCCACACCACCTCATCCCCCACTCCCCACCACCCGCCTCATTGACCTCATCATCTGGGCTTTAGAAGCGTGCTCAGGCCCACCTCTCTAAACCATGCCTAAGCAGGATTGCAGCAACTGTGCCCAAGCCCAGTTGTCGCACCAAAAGCCCGGATCTAATCGTGATCTGGGCCTAGGCCCACTTTAACCGTGCTTTAGGTTGCGCATGTGACCGCAGCCTAAAATACATGCATGAAAAGAGTCTTAAAAAACATATACACTATGTGAAAAACTAGTGGCAGAACCAAGCTGTTTTGAGAGCGAGAAATTAGTTACACATTACATCGTCTTGTGAAATGAATAACGGTAATTTAAAAAAGGTAGTAATACCGGAAACTGCAATAATTTTAGTTATCGGATAAAATGTCCTTGTCATGACGACCTCTGCTGAAGGATTTGACCTATGTTGCATGTTTTGAGAGGGGGAAACTGGAGACCTGGGAGGAAACCCACTCAGACTCGTTGAGACACATGTCCTAGAATGGACACTCTACATTCTACAACATGTATGGATCAACATTTATCAACATTTATGGACATTGGTCTCTCCCTATGGACCAAAAAATGTGTCTTTTTGTGTATTAACTTTTGATTATCAGATCTGTGTTGATGATTTCAACGGTTCTGTTAAGTCTTCTGAGATGACTGCTGTTGTGATTTAGGGCTATACAAAAATAAAGTGAATTGAATTCAATTGAGAAACATGCAGAATCAACTCATGAAGGCCTGGGATGACACGGAATGAACCAACAACCTTCTTGCTGTAAGGCATGAACACAAGCCACTTAGTCACGTGCTGTTGACTTTTATGATGTGGTGTTTACCTTGTGCACTGAGGGCAGTCCAGTGTTCCAAGTCTGGGTCTTCTCCTGGGTCTCAGTTGGCGTCCGGCCCTTATTTAAGTATCGCTGATGTGATGAGCAGGTCTGCAGCAAGTACAAGCCACAGGCCACAGCGTAGCCGCCCCAGTTAGACACTCCTGATAAGAACAACAGCAATACTCATGTTATTTGTGTTCATTCTTGAGAGTATTTTGTTTGGCATTGAACGTAAACTCATTAAACGGCAACTTTTTAGCGTCATGAGCCAGTCAGTCAATGAGATGTACAATTTGTTGGCCCACACATTAAATACTTCTGGAATGTCTCTGGAATGTTTGTTGTCCCATACCACATGTGATAGCAAAGTCTGCAGGGACGTCACAGGCGATCATATCTCCTTTGGGCATGTAACTGATCACTTTCTCCTTAAGTTTTCCCATTCCCAGCTCGTTCCCACCATCGCCAATCCCTAAAGAAAAACAAGACAAGGTGTGCACAAAATCCTTCAATAAAATGGTTTCTTGAATGGTTTTAGCTTCAATTGATAAACAGTAGATGTATTTACTAAAGTGGCATTTATTTTCATGGCTACAAGCTTTTAGCTAAAGGCTAAAAGCTCATATTATTAGCGTTAGCCACAGTGCTGCATCTGCATCACCAGGTATGAAAACAGAACATTCAATCACGCTGCTGATAAAGTATTCTGGTGATTGTTTGGTGGGGATTCTGCGTGTTTTGCATATTTGAGGCTTGTGCCTGAATAAGTTTAATTGAAACTTGTGACATAGTAGTTGGACTGCGCTCGGATCAAGTCAGAACATCCCGAGACCCTTACAGATTCGGACTTGTTCTCATTACTGTTGGTGTGAAGACAATCACTGTCAGTGTGAAGAAAGTTACATATTGTTTACGTGTGAGTCTGTTGTGTACAAACTACACAATGTGCCTCCTGTTGTTTTAACCTCACAAACCATACGCCTTTCTGTGCGTATGGTTTGCGATGTTGACTCTTTGCTGCTACGCCGCTGGACTTTTGCATAATTATTATTCTAAAAGATTGCTGTCCGGGTCATTGTTTTAAATAACTGCGGTCAGAAGATAACTGGTCCTACATGGTTATTTTACGTAACAGTGGTCCTCTATGGTTCTTTTACATAACTGTAGTCCTTCATGGTTCTTTTATATAGCTGTGGTCCTCCATGGTTCCTTCTTCAAACTTTTGAGGGCACGGTGAAAGCAACGATATCAGTAGCACCTGTGAAACAAAAACGCAATTCTTGCATCCTTTTTGTCCCTTATCAACCAATGTATTTCAAGATGGCACATTGACATGGATAGTACTCTGCTCTCATGAACATTAATAAGTTAAATTCTAAGCCTATGAAAACAAGTAAAAAAAACATGGTGGAGGTAAATATTGTAGGTGGTCGTGTGCACGGGAGTCTATGTGGAATTCTAAGAATGGGCATTATCTCAACCCGTCTGGTGACGGCCTCCTGCTGAGCCGATGCTGATTGTACCAAAGCTGCCCACTGGTCTGAGCCAAGAGACTTGCCCCAGCTGGTTTGGCCCCGGGACTCGGCCACACCCCTCTCTGGACTATCTCTCTCTACATCATCAAGGATATAATGTTCTGGATAAGAAACATGGACTAATTCCATTAACACAATGACAATATTCGTACTGTAAATGTTATGTCTATTTCATTTGTGATGTGTGTGAAACATAAGAATCCTGTGAAATAACTGTGATATGTCTTTGCCACATGCATATGTGAATCTACCAGGCCCAGGTCTGCCCCTAACCCAACTGTGGTTCAAATGTTCATTGAATATACTCCGCCCCCATAAACATTTGAACATTTCATAATTTCAATTTAAATGTATTTATGGAAAACCCCTTGATATAAAGCATCTCACGATACATGGCCCCATTCATTCTTTCCTTAACACGGACCAGTCGTTCTGTCCACTTAGCAGAAAAACAGCCCCAAAGCATGACGTTTCCACCCCCATGCTTCACAGTAGGTATGGTGTTCTTAGGATGCAACTCTTTCTTCAAACACGACGAGTTGAGTTTATACCAAACAGTTCTAGTTTGGTTTCATCTGACCACATGACATTCTCCCAATCCTCTGCTGTATCATCCATGTGCTCTCTGGCAAACTTCAGACGGGCCTGGACATGCACTGGCTTCAGCAGGGGGACACGTCTGGCACTGCAGGATTTGTTTCCCTGTCGTCGTAGTGTGTTAAGCCCAGTGTATACTCGTGCGGCGCGGAGCTTACGGAGGTGACGTACCGTCACTTGCGCAACGCGTTGGTCACCGCAAGGCCCCTACGTTGCCTGCCGCGCAGCATAGACATTTTCTAACTACGGGTAAGGGTCGCCGGAAGGAAGCTACGCTGTGATTGGTCCGTGTGTGTGTTTTGGAAGCACGGAGCGGCTGCAGGGAACATGGACGAGGCACTATGGAGCAGACTGTTTCACGCTTCGAAGGAACCAAAGGAAAAGTAGCTTGGGCTCATGGCAGAGCCTGATATACGCGGAGACTGTGGACCAGAGTTCTGTTGCATATCTAACATATATATAACTTATAAACTGTGCAGTCGTTTCTTTTGCACTGTTCCTGTCTTTGTTTGAATCTGCACTCGTAGCTTATCGCGTCTGTTCCATTCCTCCTGCACTTATAAATTGTTCATGTTTGCCTCAGATATTTACCACTTATTGTTTTGCCGTTCGCCCTATGTTTCCAACAAGAACTGTGTCTTTATTCACAACATCACAGTTAAATGAGTTAAGAAATAATGAGTCCATAGAACTATCACATAAACCTACAGTAGAAACACATGTAATGATCTCAAACAGCTCGGTTTGTTCATGTTTTTGTTCTGAAGAGGAGAAAATAGCAGCGTAAATGAGACCGCTTTGGTATCTCAAGCAACTCCTGTGAGATCGCCATCATGTGGTTGGTTGTGGGATTACAACATTCTCCTCAAAACTCCGCAAGGAGTATAAATTAAATTGTGCTTGCGTAGGTCCACCGCAACCGCTAACGTACGCAGCACCGCGCAAGTATACACTAGGCTTTACTTATGGTAACCTTTGGTACTTTGGTCCCAGCTCTCTGCAGGTCATTCACCAGGTCCCCCCGTGTGGTTCTGGGATTTTTGATCACCGTTCATTTTGACCCCACGGGATGAGATCTTGCGTGGATCAGTCTTGTATGTCTTCCATTTTTTGATAATTGCTCCCACAGTTGATTTGTTCACAACAAGCTGCTTGCCTATTGTAGATTCACTCTTCCCAGTCTGGTGCAGGTCTACAATTCTTTTCCTGGTGTCCTTTGACAGCTCTTTGGTCTTGGCCATAGTGGAGTTTGGAGTCTGACTGTTTGAGACTGTGGACAGGTGTCTTTTATACAGATTACGAGTACAAACAGGTGCCATTAATCAGAGATGGGGACTCGTGAGTCAGACTCTGACTTAAGTCGCTATTTTTAGAGACTTGCGACCCGAATCGGACTCGTCCCCTAAAGACTCTGGACTTGACTCGGACTCGTCCCCTAAAGACTCGGACTTGACTCGGACTCGTTATTTTCGGACTTGCGAGTACTAACGCTCCAGATCCAACCGTTTCACAGGCTGGTAAGGGAGCATGCTCTTTGGCTGTGTTTGCTCTTTGGCTGTGCGCGCTCTCTTGTGCACGCTGGCTGTGCGCCCTCTATGGCGGTGCGCTCTCTTTGGCCGTGCACACTCCTCGGCTGTGCGCGCTTTTTGGCGGCGTACGCGGGTCTTGACTGTGCGAGAATGCACGCATTCGTTGATCACTTTGTGCATCAGTTGTGTCTGAGCTGTGAACCACTCTGTCAACGGCAGCGAGCAGCCGGTCATAATGTTTCCAGGACCATACACGCGCACATAGGACCATTCTTTTCTTGTTGTGTGCGTGTCTTTATACACCTCTCCAATACAAAGAGCTGGATGATAGAGCCTCCTGACGTTTCCATGTCTCCCCGTGTCTCCTCCTAAACTCATAAAATTAAAGCTGGGGTACGTAAATTTTCCCTCGCATTAACAGCTCATGTTGGTTGTGCCAACAGTAAAATGCTGTGAACAAACAAACAGATTTAATGACAGCCATTGGCTGACATTATGTATTTCAGACATTTTTTAAATGTCCCATTGTCATCCTGTAACAAACAATAGTTTTGGTCTGTGCCCTCACTGTAGTGACATGTTTGTAACTCTGTAACGTAGACTATTGCACTTTATTTTAATTGTTGAAACTGCATACATCCTCTACAGTACGTGCTTCTGCATACCGTATAAATAAAACATTTTTGTAGCAGTGCAATACAATTAATTCATATATTTTAGTCCATTTTAAATGGTATTGGCCATAATTTTAATGCGTAGGAAATGAGACTTGGACATGCGGGTCCAGGGACTTGGACTTGACTTGGACTTGACTTGGACTCCAGGGCATGGAATTGGACTTGACTTGGACTTGCGGGTCCGAGGACTTGGACTTGACTTGGACTCCAGGGCATAGACTTGGATTTGACTTGGACTTGCGGGTCCAGAGACTTGGACTTGACTTGGACTTGCGGGTCAGAGATTTGTGTGCATCTTTGCCATTAATACAGGTTACTAGTGGAGGACAGACGAGCTTCTTAAAGAAGAAGTTACAGGTCTGTGAGAGCCAGAGATCTTCCTTGTGTGAAGTGACCAATTACTTATTTTTCACCATAATTTACAAATAAATTCTTTAAAAATTCTACATTTGGAATTCCTGGATTTTTTTCACATTCTGTCTCTCACAGTTGAAGTGTACCTACGATGAAAATTACAGACCTCTGTCATTATTTTAAGTGGGAGAAATTGCACAATCGGTGGCTGACTAAACACTTTTTTTCCCCACTGTATATAAACACTGAGGGCCAAATGAAAGATTAGATTTTGTAGGATTACAGTTTTTCTCAGTCGCATTTTTCACATCATTCTTCACATTTGCAAAACAGAGTGCATTTCTCAGAACAATTAGTGCAAACTGCAAAACCTCGTGGATAATCTGTAAAAGTGCATCATCTTCTCAAAATGAAAAGTTAATTCCTCAAAAGCAGGTCTTCATGTCAATGAAACTGTGTCGTCAAAATAATAAGTCCTGACAACTTTGAGTATGAACAACACAGTAAAATGGTTTAGTCATGTTTTCATTGTGAAAGTTTACTCTCTCTGTGTTTTCAATGTAAAAAAGTCAGATCTCGGTGACACTTGAGCACGACTATGAGCACACTATATACGACCTACTGTATGTATGTGTGTATATGTATGTACTGTATGTGTGTATGTATGTATGTACTCTATGTATGTGTGTATGTGTACTGCATTTATTTCACATATTTACTGCATTTGCTCTTTGCAATTCTACAGCAATGTGCAACAAATATACAGTCACATACATGTATATACATAGAACAAACATACAAGATATAGCATTATGGTAGAACTGTGACAAATGTAAACAATAAAACACACACCTCCTCATGAGTGAAGCTGAAATTCACCTGAGATAAATTGTTCAATTTAGGAAAGATTTACAGGAAAAAAAGATAAAGGAATGTATGAAATTAGCTTGACAACTATGGTTTTGAGAACTAGTTCAACAATTTTATATGTGATGACCAAAGCGATGAAATGAGGACTATTGGTTTTATAGGGAAAGATTATTCAGAAGTGATAAGTATGTTTCATTTTGATTGACTGGACAGAAGCAAATGATAATGTTTAAAAACCGCAGAGAATTGTATGAAAGTAACTGTTACATTAACAAAATCATTTGAAATGTATTCATAGGAATGAGAAACCGCTACGATGCGGTGCACCAATGATCCAATGTTGTGGAGGTTGAACAAATAGTATTGAGAACTTTAAGTATGATGTGAGAAATGCATCAAAGCGACTGAAAAAAACGGTAATACACTTTGATAGGTAGTTTTTGTAATTAATTATAACATGAGTGTAGTGAACAAGCTAATAAAAAGACATACTAAATTATCTCTCATTGATTTGTGTCACTGAATTATTCTCAATTTTCTATGGTAGACTGTACAGTATGCCAGGCAGGCCCCAGGCCTATCAATTTATTGTTAAAAATAAGATTTTTTTCTACATTTAATTTATATTAATGTAAACAAGTAATAGATATTGCATTTTATATTATTATCAAATCTATATTTATACCTACTGTAATATTATGTGGTTATGTGGTCGGTATCGGGGCCCCCAAGGACTTTGTTGCCTGTGGCCCCAGGGTACCCACTGTATGGGCCAAATCAACACGTATGTTGTGGGCCACATCTGGGCCACAACAACATCTGGGCGTGGCAAGAGCTCTGGTGTGTGCTACCCTGGTGCACACTGGGGTAGCCTTGCCGGTTTTTTCCAATGTGGTTTGACTGCAAATGGCAAATACATTCTTGTACATTCAGATTTCAGAATTATGCAGCGAAAATCTAGAAGAATCTTACTGAAAATGTGAGACAGGCTTCCACTCTGACAATGGTCAAATCCAGGTTCAAAACAATTCTTTGTACTCTGCCTACCACTAAAAGATCGTATATCTTCATTCATTTTAATGTACTGTGATTATTCCAGATTTCAATGCCTTTTGGGATAGTACAAAGAAATAAACTTGCAATGCCTTTCCTTGCCTAAAGTTTTCTGTGATGTGTGTTAACTTCATGGGACCACATTTGAACTTTAAATGGGACTTCTGTCGGAGGCATGTGACTCACCAGTGGTTAAAATCCCAGGGATCTGATTGGCTGCGACAAACAGGTCGTCGATAGGGTCCACCAGATGTTTGATGTTGATTCCTCTCATGTTGTAGTAGTTCCCATCTGAAGCCCGGCCGCTGCGCTCTATCGCCACCAAGTGGTCATACCTGGACATGACCATTTGTGCGTCATAAAGGCAGAATGCAATAGATCCATGGACAGGCTAAACAAATGGGATTCTTCTATGTTCAAAATGCAAAGCCTGCCTGACAAAATACAATGGGGAAAAATAGTATGGAACCTAGAATTAAAAGAAAATAAAACAACATAAAATGAAAACAAATTAAAATTGCAAAAGCGATTTGTAAAGGCAGCAATTACGAATGTCCTCTGCAAAGATAACTACTTATAGTACTACAATATAATTCAGGAATGTGTTCTTATTTTAGGAAAAACAAGACATTTTGTGCCAAATCTGCTGAAAGACGGTGGTCAAAAATCACACAACTCTAATTGTAAATAAAATACCATGCATCTATATTGTAGATCAGAAACCAGAAAGAGAGAAGATGGCAAAATTATCTAAGTAGTTTGTGACTGTATGGCCGGCCAAGGAAAGTATTGTAGCCATACAGAAGGGCTTTGTCAAGAATGCACAGTGGTGGGAATAACAACATTGAAATGAACGGCGTTACTAACACTGTTACTTTTTTCAGTAACGATTAATCTAACTAATTACTTTGACTGTCACTATAACGCCATTATCATTGCCGACACCCCGTTACTGCATGTTACTCACAATTGAGTGCCAGCCTTGTCTCCACAGCTTGGGTCTAGAATGCCAGCCATTATGCATATTTGGGTGACATTATGGCCATGGGTGAAGAGCCAAGGCATCTACCCCCAGGGGCGGATCCTCTGCGGCCCGCAGCGCAAACCAGAGATGGTATTGAGCGTTGTCTGAACTGGCAAATAGGTCGACCACTGGATGACCAAATCTTAGCCAGATCTCATCTGCGGGGCCCGGCCCCACTCGTCCCCCGAGCGGGTCCCCTCTGGACATCATATCCGCCCCTGTGTTGCGGTCTCCCGGAACATGGCGTGCTCTCAAAGGTTGCAGAAGCATTGCAGCCCAGAGCAGAAAGACTGCTGCCAGACGACTGTCTGGCTCTCCTGTCTGGCTCTCCTTGATCCAGACTCAATCACTTATCTGAAGAATCTGGATCTGGTTCGCTGAACAAATCAGATTCGTCAGAGGAGGCGGCCGTGGCATGCCCCGTGAAGCGCCGGGTCTCCCCATGCTACCAACGGTTTGCGCTCCTCTATGTAAAAGTTGCTCTCGGGATGGACCCTCACCAGGATCTGCACCATCTCCCCTATCTCCCCTCGCAACCGTACTCACAGATTCCTGAGTCAAACTCTCCAGCAGTGTTAACTGTTTTGTATGACAATCTTTAGCTTCGCTGTCTTTTCTGTTGCCATGCTGTCTCTCACTACTCCACTCCCCTCCTTTTCCTTCTGCTGCGTTTTTGACCCCATCCGTGGTGCAAATACTGCACTCTAGAAGTATCAACTGATCATTACACGTAATATATGAAGATATACTGTACGGCTGATTTCTATATCAGAAGGTACGGCAGAGGTTATTATAGTACCCTATTTGAAAACGTGAAAAAGACGTCTAAGACGTCTTTGAGAGTGAGCGTTACTAAAAAATATAACGTCTTAAAACGTCTTTGGTAGCCAATGAGTTTAGTGGAAGCCGACAAACACACACCTCTGACAGACAGATCAAAACATGTCCGCTGTATTTGGTCTGACCTGGGTTTGTTGACGTCTCCATCGTGGCACAGGAAGTGGAGGGCGGAGTCTGGACCACTGTCATCGAAAGTGACCAGAGGTACAGGTGCAGTCAGTACACCTGTGACAAACAAAAGAGGCAACTGAGATAAAATGTGTGAAAACGGGCCTCATGTATGAAACTTTTCCGCATTTATCAATCTGGACGTGAGCGTACGGTACGCACAGAATTTACACCAAGTCAATAGGTGGTGTAAATGTGTACGCTCATTTCACCCTTCGTCACAACACGCCAAAACATGCATGAAATTCAAGATTTTGACAACAATAAACATATTCCCACTCTGGCAAAATAATAAGCTGTGTTTTCATAGAGCATCATGTTTCGGAATTTGAATTTGCGCATCTGAAAAACTCTAATGGAAACACGCAAACATTGAATAAATCATGTTCAATAGATCATGAAGAGGAGCCTCTTCTGTTTCTATGATTTTAAATCTGACTTGTGTGTGTATTATTTTGATCTGTATGTTTTTAAAATGTGAATCGCTTTGTGATTCTGGACTGTGAAAGGCTCTATACAAATACACTTTACCCGACAGGGATGCGTGACCCATCTATTGCTTTGTAAATCTGTGGCAGGCTCTGCTTTGCGTAATTACGCACGGCTATGTTTTTCCTCATTCACAGCTGGTAAAGCAATGTATTATTTCATTAGATTTGTGTAAGCCTCACACAGACACACACGCACCGATGGATGGTATTGCTCACTCCAAATGTCTCACTGCTCTGTCCAGAGTGCGCAGCGGGTCCGTGAGAGGTCGCGCCGCAAAACTCCTGTCATTCAGAAGTTTTGGCTCCAGAGTTTCTTTGTAAAATCTGGATCGCAAAAGCTCTCTCAGTGTATAGTGGTTCAATGCGCACTTCTACCCAGAGCCAGGCTGCGTCCAAGACGCTGCAGACGCTTCATTGATGAGAGCCACCGCTGCAATATATATATGAATTCATTCATTCATTCTTTATCTATTCACTTCTACAATCCAAGAGAGATTTTTTCTAATGTATCAAAACATTTTTGCAAATTTGTTCAAAACGCAGCTGAATATATAGCGTATATATATATTTTTTTTACATAAACATGAATAAACAAACGTGCCTTTTGAGGCTTTCAAACCATCTTTTTGGCCGGCTTCCATGCCAAAACGGGCGTGAAACACACGCATTGCTGCATAATTCTAGTCGTGACTTTCATAAATATGTTCGTTTTCAGCCGCGGCATTTATAAACACCCGCAGGTGCGTACGCACAGATCTGGGTGTATCTCACACGTTCATAAATCCGACGTTGGATTTTGCTTAAATGGAATATACATCCAAAATGTACACCTTTTTCTACGCAAGTTTCTCTGTCTGCATCGCTCACTTTCAGCCACAGTAACATGTGTCTATGGTAAGTACTGCTTTATTCTTTACTATTGAATTACGAACACATGTTGTGAGTCTTTTCAGATAAAAGACACAACGCATGTTGTGTTTTATCTTTAGGGAGAAAACAAACCCACGTATTAAATATTAAAGCTACATAGAGGAATCAGATCTGGTTTTAATTGAGAATATATTTTGTAAATCCCATACTACAAGTCTCCTGTTAAAGACTGGGAATGATGTATATGTATTTACATTTAATGTTGATATTGTGATGTTTGTAAAGGCATTCAGCCTTTAGGCTGTTTCTACTACTGTGTATTTGTAATTATATATTTATTTGACTGGGACAGTACATGTCAATGAACATATGGTTGAACATAAATGTCGACACGTCTGATTGTAGCAAAAGGAAAATTTCATCAGGTGTCCCAGGAGGAACGGGGTCTGTTTTAATTCATAATTTTTGTGTGAATTTCTTTTCCAGAAACATCTGTCTTCCAGAGGCCATAATTTCTTCATCCATCTCCACACAATATTTCAATTTGTGTCATGGTGTGGATTTTTATTTTGTATTTAGCTTTTATTTTGAAATAAGTTCTGTGGTTTTGTTTCAGTTTGACTTCCAGTCCTGTTTTCCCCTGTCTTGATTGTCTGCCCCGCCCTGATGTGTTTCACCTGTGTCTGTGTCTATATGTACCCTTTGCTTCTCTCCCCTTGTTGCTGCTTCATTGTTTTGTCTTGTCCTGGTTACTTTGGATTTCTGGAGTTTGTTTTTTGCCCTGGACTTTGTTTTATTAAAAGCTTTATTTTGGCACTCCTGCATTTGAGTCCTCACTCAGCTCAACTCGTGACAGAATGAAGCAGCCACTAAATGACTCAGCGGATTGCCTTTTTTCCCACAAGTTTTTTTTTTTTTTTTGTGTGTGCCGATTGCCTACCTCTTGCACCTGTTACCTGGAACCACCGCCAGGCAAGAAACTCCGCCTGGGGTGGGTATTCGTCTTGCACCACCGCCGGGCATTGATGTCCAATTTGTTGTTAATTACTATAGTGTTCAAGAAACACACATTAATAAATACAAAATGTACTGTTATTGAAATGTGTAGGTGTTGGAGTTTTTTCCTGCTGACGCTTATTAAATGACAAATGTTTACTATCTCACCAACTCACAAGTCAACGACTGAATTTCAGATGTACTGGGTTTTAGAACAAGGTCTATAATGGCGGAGCTGAAGTTGGATGAATGACACAGTGAACTTGTGTTTATGATCTCAAAGACTGCTTTGGGTTAGCAATAGGGATGTAAATCTGTGACCGTTTAACCAGTGGTTGACCGTGACAGCGTTAACCGGTCAAAGCTGTCGATTAAAAAAGAGAAAAAGGGGAGGTCTCTTTATCACACTATTTTAAGCCTAACAGGGCTTTCACACCGCCAACGCTGAAACGCTGAAGCCCCGCTCACCAGACGCGCATTCTCTAGTTTTCAGACGCAGAGGTCTTCACACCAGAACGTCCTGACGCGAGCCGGAAGTACCGGAAGTAGCCGGCTCTAATGCTAACAGAGCTATGCTAGCGGCTTCTTGTGTACAGATCTTCTCCAATATGCAGCTTTGCAGCGTGTCTTTGCTCACAGACATTCCACGGGCTTTATACAACAGTAGTATGTGTTCACGGAGGTGCGCCATACGTGTTTTCATATTATTAAACGCAATTTCCGCATCGGCGAACACACTCGAAGCAGTTGCATAAGGTCACGGGAGCATGACAACGCATATTTTCACAAGCACAGAGTCCCCCATTGTCAACCCTGGTTTGAGTTCTGGTGAAGCCTGGTGTGGGTCCTGTTTTGGCTGTTTACAGTATTTTCAGTCTGCTCGCTCAGTCCGCTAATGTCCCCGTGACCACTTTGCTGCTCTCTGATTGGTTGTCGCACGAACGTCCCAAGGAAAGGATGAGCAGAATACATCTCCTGTGGGCGTTGATTTTTTGCTCCTGCTCCTCCTTTTTCACTTTCCCGCCAAGTCCGTGCGTCTCTACTGAACAGTTCGTTCGTGCGTGCCAAGAGGTCCGTGCGTTGTGACGGTCGAACGCGCGCCACCATAGACTTTGCATTGAAACCCGACGCAGCATGATCCGGTCTGAAAGCACCACTACTCGCACGGTGTGACGAGCGGGTCCGTATCTAGCTGTGCGTGCCAATGTACCAGTAAACTCCCGGCCGACTCTCACGCCGCACGCGCCACTATGCACGCACACACACACGCACGCACAGACACATACACACTTTCCCCCCCTCCATTGATACGAAACATCCACACGCATCATCTCTCCCCTCTGTTACTAGTGTGCTAGTTTCACACTGGTGCAGGTCAGAACTACATTGGAGCTTATATTTACACACACACACACATACACACATACATGTATTGTAGACACACACATACCGGTCTGTCGCGCTCTGTGTCACGGTGCCCAAAGGAATGCTCGCAAATACGCAGCTCCAGTCAAACCACATGGACCATGTTTGTGTTTATGGTCCTTGGCATCAGCTCCACACACATCACTTTTAAACTTTAGCGGAGACCTGTGAGACGCGGCTCTTCACTCGCTGCTCTTGACCATGTGAACGAGCCGTCTTTTGCTTAAAAATGCTTTAACCCGCAGCACAGAAGAATGGGAAGATTAAAACAGCAGTTCTCTGTGCGCAAAGGTGCCGAAGCTGTTGTGGGTTTTGGCGCCGCTGTCTCGGCTCAGATCCAGTAGAACGCATAGCTGCTCTTATGGGGAGTATGCGGCTCAAAATGGCTGTTATTTCAAAGAACGTGGACTATTTTAAACTATGCGGTTAACCGGTTTCAACCGGTTAATGAGGCTCGGTGGTCGGTCATGAAAATTCATAGTTTTTTACATCCCTAGTTAGCAAGGCAGAAGCCCACATAAAAGGACATGCTTAGACAAAAGTTACAAAACCTGAAGCTTTTGTACTAAACCTAAAACACAGTTTACCATTCCTTAAAGAAAAGTACTACTTTGCACTTTAATTTAATTTCTGCAACACACTTTCTCCTGCTCACTACACACTATGTAATACATAAGACACTTCATAACTGCAATCCTGTGTTATCATTGGCAAAACACATCTATTCATAATAACAAACACATTGTGTGATTGAAAACACTGAGACACACGGTGGCAGCGTGGATAGCACTCTCGCTTCTCAGCAAGAAGGTCCTGGGTTTGAATCCCAGGATCTCTGAGTGGAGTTTGCATGGTCTCCCCGTGTCTGCGTAGGTTTCCTCCGGGTGCTCTGGTTTCCCCCGGTTTCCCCTACCACTAAAAACATGTACAATAGGTCTGGCATGCACCTCCTGTACTGGGGACCCCGCTCCCATCTCTGTGTGGAGTGAGTGGACAAATGCCAAAAAAACAAACAAAAATTGTAAACCGCTTTGTGACTCTGGTCTGTGAAAGGCGGCATATAAATAAAGATTGCTTACAACTACTTACTTACTTGACAACAACTACAAAACGCAATACACATTAGCCAGGCATAAACAGGCCTCAGTTTAACCAAATTCAGAACTTTGCAAGTATAAAGGCAGGAAGAGCAAGACAAGGAGAGATGAGGATGTGGTAATTTCTGATGACATCAGAGCAACTTTGGTGGATCGAGTGATCCATCATGGCCTCACAATGAGGAAAGCAGAGAGTCCAGCCACATGTACTGTATCACATGTACTGCAACTCTCTACTGCAGACTGTATCTAGAGTATTTACAGTACTGCACTGTATCACATGTACTATAAAGCCTAGTGTATACTCGCGCGGCACGGAGCTTACGGAGGTGATGTGACGTCACTTGCGCAACGCGTTGGTCACCGCAAGGCCCTTACGTTGCCTGCCGCGCAGCATTGAAATTTTCTAACTACGTAAGGGTCGCCGCAAGGAAGCTCCGCTGTGATTGGTCCGTGTGTGTGTATTGGAAGGAAGCATGAAGCGGCTGCAGGAGCATGGACAAGGCACTATGGAGCAGACTGCTTCACGCTTCGAAGGAACCAAAGGAAAAGTAGCTTGGGCTCATGGCAGAGCCTGATATACGCGGAGACTGTCGACCAGAGTTCTGTTGCATATCTAACATATATATAACTTATAAACTGTGCAGTCGTTTCTTTTGCACTGTTCCTGTCTT